GCAGTACAAGTGTTTACGGGAACATTGCTTCTTTAATCAAAACAAGAAGAGCTTTGAGCTCCACTGGAGGAAAAAAAAAGTTCTTACAACCCAGATGACTTGTAAAATTTTCTTTAAAGCCCCCAGTATAGATTATGATACAAAGAACACCCATGCAACTCACTCTCTGCTTAAGAAATAGAACATTGCATGAGTGACCCAAGTCCCTGGATAGCCTTCCCCATGGGCTTCCTCCTCAGATACAGCTATTAATCTGAGTTCGATGTTACTCCCACCTATCATTTTAGCCTTTGCTATATAGAGCTACCCATTAGTGATGTATGGCCTAGTTTTGCAAGCTTTGACTCTTTGTAAAATTGGAATAGTCTTGCAACAGTCCTGTAGTTTTCTTTCTTGACAGAGTGGTGAACGTTGCTTTGGAGATTTGTTCAAGTTCATAATGTTCTGGCTATTTCATTCTCCACTCTGTATATTCATGGTGTGACTATACTTGATCCTCTCCTGTTGGTGGACATTTAGGTTGCTTTCATTGTTTACCCATACGGATGGTGCTGCATTAAACTTTATGTACAGGTCAGGTGACTATGTATTGACTAGAAGAAAGTCAGATTGAAAACTGACACTGCTAAACCCTTTAGAGCTGGACATATTTGAGAAATAGCAACACAGAGCTACTTTTTAACTTTTATGATGAAGTTTGATCTCACATGGTGAAAATTTAAAGAGTGCCATGACCCCATTGATGACATATGAGTTGTGATTGCTCTTCGGTAGCCCTAGGCTGAAACAGATCCTTTTTCATCTTATGACCTTCTTGGCAAGAAAAGGTATACAAAGAGGAACACAGTAACAAAAAGGCTCTTTTCTCTAAAGCCTCTAAAAGAGCCTGGATTAAGCTGCCACCCCAGTTCTCCCCAGAAAGGGGTCTCCTCTGAGTTGGATGCAACCCCAACCCAATGGAGAGGAGGGTAGAGAAGAAATAATCTAACAGAGGGAGAAGATGGAGGGAAGAACAGGCCCAGAGATTACAACAGAGGTTCTTCCAGAGGAAGCAAGAGTGTGTCCCAAAAGATGGTCTCCAGGGTGTGTGAATCCCACTGACAATCCAGCTTGAACCTGACTGAGAACTCTCCTCCAGAGCAGGGTAGGGAATAATCTGGAGCCCACTCTAGAATTTAATTGTGCTGCCCATACTTTCCTGAATGTTTTTGGTTTCCTGTTCATCCAAGGGGGTTTAGCTTCCAGATTCTTGCTCAACCAGGGCTGTTCCTGGCCCTCTGCCAAGAGGAGATCAGCAAAATAGATAAGAAGCCCAGCCTCCTTCTATATCTATCTATCTAGATATCTCTCAAATCCTTCTGTCATTTTACCCCAAATATTGTAGGGGCCGCCAGACCACTTCTGCCCTTGGCCCACTACAGTCTATTCTTAAAACAGCTACCTGAGTGCTCCTTTTAAAACACGAGTCCAAAAATGTATCTTCTGTGCCTCATTACCTTCTATAGCTTCTTATTGCCACTCTGAGTGAAAAAACAAAGTTCAGGTAATGGCCGATAGGTCATTGTCAGTTACTGCTCTGCCTCCTGTCTTGTTGCTCTCCCTCTTGCTCATTCTGCTGCAGACACTCTGGCCTCCTTGGTGTTCCTCAGTCATCTTGTGCACTGTCTTACCCCAGGACCCTTGCACTTGCTGTTCCCTCACAGCTTGCTCTCTCATTGGCTTCAGGTCTGTGCTTAAATGTCACCTGTTTATTTTTTGAGCCCTTCCTTACCACACTTTTTTAAAAAGTACCTTCATGGCACCCCTGGAATATCCAATCCCTCTTTGGCTTGGATTTTTTTCCATTCCATCTGAAGACTATATACTCTATTTATTTTTCATAGTTACTGTTTATCTCCTGCTTCAAGAATTTGAGCTCCAGAAGAGCAGGGATTTTTCCCACTCTCTTCACTGTTGTATCCCAGCACCTGGGACAGTGTTTGGCACATGGAAGGTGCTTGATTAAATGAGTTATTGAAACCTTCTGTTTACTTGAGACCAATGATTTGGGACATTCTTTGTGAATGTCTTTGATTTGCCCCCAGAAACCTCTGGAATAGGCCAGAACATAACTTCTTTTAGGTTTATTCTAAGGCAACAACATGGAGTGGTCCAAAAGTCTCTCCTTTTCCAGCCTCCTCCCATCTGAAAATATCTTCAGCTTTTCCTTCTCCTTTTTGAAACTTGCTTTCAGGAAAGAAGCTGAGAAAAATTTAGAGTAAAGCAAATAATGAAGGGTAAAATAACTCATAAAACATAATGTGTTTTGCCTCCCAGGGAAATGTATATCTATACCAAGCTGAGAGAGGCAAAGTATAATAAGTCCTTACTGGGTATCCATCAATGAAGCCAAAATGGTGTGAGATGTTTTTCCCTTTTTCTTACTGAGCTACCAGGTAATACTATTGTCTTTATTTTAAACATAAACAAATAAAAGTTCAGGATGACCAACTAATGTGTACAAAGGTGGTGATCTTGAGGAATGAGATAGAAGAAAGAATGGACCCTAAGCTTGAAAAGATCCAGAAGGGCAAATCCGCTTTTCACCATTGCAATTTCTGTGTATCTGTAGTTTTATTCACTAGTGACCAAGACCCCTTTAGAAAGGTTTTCTTCAAGGATGGGAACAGGAAGGTATTTCTGGCCAATCCTTATTAAAAGAGGCTATTCATTTCAGTTTATTTTTCTCTGAGTCCCCACACTCTCTACTCAGGAGTTCCGATTAATTAAGGTGTTACGCTGTTATCTTTTATGCATAAATTCACTATTGGACAAATCATGAAATTGTCTTCGAAATGTTTAGCTCTAAACTTTCTTGCCTCCACCCATATGTCCATGTGGAATAACAGAAAGTGTTCTTTATTTGTTCCTCACCCAAAGATGTGATGAGTGTATGTGGGTCAATTTGTAAACCTACACAGGCCCCTTGCTTAAAAATAAAAATTCATTTACCAAAAGGTAACTATGATCATAATCAGGTTTGGAGGTTCATTTCTAAAGTCTCCCTTTGCAACCAAAATTATTGGTATCTAAGGATCCACACTGATAAGCTGGAAAAACTCCAATAAGCAAATTGCATGCCAAACTTGAGAATTAATTATTAACAAATTGATTCAAACGGGAAAGAAATAGTTTAGAGAGTTTGACGGAGTGTTCTTAGCAAAAAACTTCACTCACATTTAAAAGATATATTTTTCTTTTCATTATATGAATAATATTGTAAGACTTTTGTCAAATAAATAGAAGTTGTACATAATCTCATAATAACTCATTTTGATGCATTTTATTCTAGTCTTTCTTTTGGCCTGGGCATAGTTTTTTAAAACATGTTTTAATTATCACATTCTTATATGCGTCATAAGTATTTTCCCAAGTTGTTGTCATTGTAAGCTTTTAAGATATAAAGTTAATTTTTCATTGTAAAAGTATAAGTGTTATTTTTAGAGAAGTTGAACTATGATAAAAAAATAGAAAGAAGGAAACAAAATCATCTGTAGGCCCATCGTCTATAAACTACTACTGTTAACATATTTTAGAGTGATTACTGACACTGCTTTATGCATGTTGTTGTTATTTATTTATTTTTTAAGATTTTATTTATTGGGAAACCTGGGTGGCTCAGTTGGTTAAGCGTCTGCCTTCAGCTCGGGTCATGATCCCAGGGTCCTGGGATCGAGTCCCACATGGGGCTCTCTACTCAGTGGGGAGCCTGCTTCTCCCTCTGCCTGCTGCTCCCCCTGCTTGTGCTCTCTCTTGCTCTCTCTGACAAATAAATAAATAAAATCTATTTGAGAGAGAGAGACAGTGAGCGAGAGAGAGCATGAGCAGGGGTTGGGGACAGAGGGTTGAGGGCCAGAGGGATTTTTTTTTAATTGAAGTATAATTGACATACAATATCCTATCAGTTTCAGATGTACCTCATAGTGATGAGATATTTTTATACATTACAAAATGATCCCCACCATAAGTTTAGTTACCATCTGTCACCAAACAAAGTTATTACAATAGTATTGACTAATTCCCTATGCTGTGCTTTACATGCCCATGACTTATTTTTTTTTGTAACTGGAAGCTTCCACCTGTTAATCCCCTTCACCTATTTCTCCTGCCCCTCCAGCTCCTACCCTCTCTGGTAACCAACCTTTTATATCATGTTGATTGATTTGTGAATGTTACTTACTTTTCAATGGTGGCATAATCTCCACTGAGTGATTCCACTATAATTTTCCTAATTGTTCCCCTATTGTGGGAAGTTAGTTAGTTTATGAATTTTGGTGAATTTTTCCCCCATAAGTTAGATCTCCAAACCTATAAAAACTGAGTCATGGGGCATATGTTGTTTTATGGCTATTCATAAAGTGAGAGGCTTCTCTCTGGAAGTGCTTTTGTGAAGGGTGGAGTGTGGGTGTTGAACACAACAGCCTATAGTCTGTCTTCCAGCCCTTTCTCCACCTCGCACTTTTCCCACCCCTTCCATCACCTGCTGCACTCTTACAAATAAGCATGCCAGAGGTGTGTCCACTCTTGTTTCTTGGCTTTGCTGTATTTTCTGCTCTAAACAAGATAGGAACTGGTTATCTCTTCCTTTAAACTTTCAACTTAGGCAAATAGTAGGTGGAGCTTCTCTTTCTTTCTGAGCCAAGAAGGATGACATTGCTCTTTGCTTTGTTGAGGAAGTTACCTCTGTTTGGAAAGCTTCAGAGCAACTGCTATCTCTCTGGTCTTCCCTCCTCCACATACACTCTCCCTCTCCTGTTGGGACCCTCACATTGGGGTCCCTGGCCATCACTGTCAAGGCTGGATTGTCTGCAGCTGATGCCCATAAACAATGGCTCTATCATGTGCCCTTGGGGATTATGAGGAAGAAAGTGCAGGAAGAGTACCTGTGTGGGGTTACTTATTATTGTGTTTGCCATACCCAGAGGTTTTCATTTTTAGTGCTTTGCCCACTAGTAATAGTAATGATAAAAGCTGATATTTGCAGAATTCTCATGGTATCCCTGGCAGGAAGACAGTATGGTCAGAACACCAATAACTTTCCAGCCACTTCTGGAAAAGCATCACCATCTCTGATTGCATATTTTACAACTCCCTTAACCTACTCAAAGGTTTGTTGGGAAGGTCACAGAACATAATTCTAAACTGTGAAGTGATAATCAAAACAACAAGATGTCATCGTTGTAATTATCAGTGTTTTCTCTTCAACCATATGCCCTTAACAATCAAGGAGAAAGATATACTTCCTGGGGCACCTGGGTGGCTCTGTTGGTTAAGCGTCCTACTCTTGATTTCAGCTCAGGTCATGATCTCAGGATTGTGAAATTGAGTCCTGCATCAGGCTCCATGCTGGGTATGGAGCCAGCTTGGGATTCTCTCTCTCCCTTTCCCTTTGCCCCTCCCCCCCTAAAAAAATAATACTTCCTGAACTACAATATTGATGAATTTCATTTTTTTGGAATTATAGAATCAGTCAAATTAGATTTTTTTTCAGGTTATACTTTGTTCATTTAAATGTTTGGGATAACCCCTATTAATTATTTATTTTAAGAAAGTGTAGAGCATATTCCTTGGTTTTCTTCACAAAGAATAGTTCTGTCAATGAAATCAGATTTTCTGAGTAAGAAGCAGATGACTACCATGCATTTAAATTTGAGGACCGGGCGCCTGGGTGGCTCAGTCGTTAAGCGTCTGCCTTCGGCTCAGGTCATGATCCCAGGGTCCTGGGATCAAGTCCCACATCGGGCTCCCTGCTCGGCGGGAAGCCTGCTTCTCCCTCTCCCACTCCCCTTGCTTGTGTTCCTGCTCTCGCTATCTCTCTCTCTGTCAGATAAATAAATAAAATCTTAAAAAAAAATAATAAATAAATTTGAGGACCAATTTAAGTAAATGACTTTTTCTTTTTCATGACAAAACCGATGATAGCTAAAACATCACCAGCCAAAGACATGGAAGTTGAGTAGCTATAGTGATTATTATTTTTTTTGGCGTTTAATAAAACCCACATATACATGAATCTTCCCTTCTCAATGAGGCCTCTTATGTCCCCCTTATTTAGTTCTACAATTTGTCCTCACTTTCCCCCAGGACTGCCTATCCCCTTCACCCTGCTCTGCTTTGTGTTTTTTCCCTTGGGCTTTTTCATTACAGTCATTATAAAATAATACATAAATCAGTTATCTTTTATGTTTGTTATTTGTCTCCCCCAAACTTAAATGTAAGCTTTAGAAAGGAAACTATCTTGGTCTGTTTTGTTTACTGATGTATACCAACCACCTGGAAGGATGATCAGTACCTAGGAGGTGCTACCTATATTTGTTGCATAACCTGAATGAAAAGTAATTATATAAAAATATGAATGGTAGCTATACTACCGTTTTTATACCAGCTAATTTTTATTAGCTAATTGTTACTGAGCATTTACCATGTACCCGGGGTTATGCATACACCTATCAACCAATGCTCCCAACAAATTTATGAAGCAGGTATCATTAATACTGTTAAATTACAGATGGAAAAACTGAGCATTAGAAACATAAAAGTAAATTGTCTAATCTTACAATCCATATGAGAACTTTGATTTAAACCCAATAAGCCTGATTCCCGGGGACCCTATTTAAGCTGGGCAATGTTGCTTCTGTATTATCAATTTACTGAGGTATTATTATTGAGATTCCAACGGATTTCATTTGGGAAAGGAGGTTTCCCTATGTAAACATTTTTGCCAAACTGCTGCCCTAGGCATTTGAACCAAACCAAAATCTTAGGTTTGCAACTCTAGGCCTTTAGCAGATTTCCATGTGATTAAATTCTGTAGCATTTGCACTATTTCCTGCACCTTTTATTACTTGGTTTTGCACAGACAAGTAAACAACTTTTGTTACTTTAAGGACTTTCTTCTACTCTTTTATATAAAAAAAGTCCTGTTCCTCCTCTCTCTGCATTTTATTGTGTTGCGTGTTTTGCTCTGGTTTTATGTGTGTGTGTGTTTGTTTGTTTTTTCAAGTAGGCTCCACGCTGGGCATGGAGCCCAGTGTGGGCTCATGACCCTGAGATCAAGACCTGAGCTGAGACGAAGAGCAGGTTGCTTACCCGACTGAGCCACCTAGGCATCCCCCTAGGTTGTGTGTTTTGTCTGTGTTAATTCCAGTGCTGTCCCCTTCACACTCCCACTTCTCTTTTCTAGGAGAATGATATAAACCTGACCCACATTGAATCCAGACCTTCATGTTTAAAGAAAGATGAGTATGAATTTTTTACCTCTCTGGATAAAGGTAGCATGCCTGTCCTGGCAAACATCATCAAGATCTTGAGGCATGACATTGGTGCCACTGTCCATGAGCTTTCCCGAGATAAGACAAAAGACACAGGTAAGAAACAGAAGGATTTTGCAACACAAGCAACTTGACATTTTCTTCAAAAAATACTGGCAAAAATAGTGTCTATCCTGGTAGACCACTGTGGGGGACTAAGCTGGAGGAGGTATGTTAGGGACCTAGAGGTGTACCTAGCACATTTTAGACATTTAATAAATGTGCTTTCTTCACTTCCTCAAGACAGCTATTTCTTATATTAGTAATTTTCTTTCTTTTGCTGCAATTTTATATATTCTAAATTTTAGCAATCATGAATAAAGCAATTATGAACATTCATGGGCAGGTTTTTGTGTAGACATGAAATTTTAATTCATTTGGGTAAATACTTAGGAGTGTGATTGCTGAGATGAACTTTTTTTTTCCTAAATAATCAAAACACTTTTTTCTACCGTAAAATCAAAAAAAAATTTTTTTTTTTTTTTTTGCCAGAACAGTGAAGACTTTGGGTCAAGAGAGTTTCAAGCTCTGTAGCTGAAAATAACATTTTAGTTGGCAGAGATGCCTTAAAATGAGAGAACACCCACCTCTTTGCACAGGCCATTGAAACATTTTCTAAAAGATACCCGCAAGGCCTTCCTAGGCGATCTCTCTTCTTTTTCTGCCCTCATTCTCCTGTGGCTGTTACCAAGACAAGGAAGTTTATTCCCGGATTCTGCCCCTGCAGAGCGTAGAAAGCCAAGCCCATGGGCTCAGGTCACTGAGGGGCAGGCACTTGGAATTCCTCCTCAGATCAACCCTTTTTGCCTTCCTTCCCTTCCACCTCCCGAGCTGCTTTGCTGATGAACGCCCTCTCTTGCTTTTCCGGCCACCTGCTCCCAACAGGAGCTGCAGGCCCTCAGGACAAAGGGCCTGCCGGATCCTGGGGCAAACTCTGCCTCTGCTTGGAGCAGGTGGAGGCTGGGCCAGCTGGGGTCCTGGGGTAGGAAATCAAAGCAATTGATGAGCAGGCAGGCAGCTCCTTGGGGAGCCAGGGAAGACATATGTAGATCAACTGAAGGGCGGGCAGCCTGAATTGGAGGCTCAGAAAGGAGGTTTTTAATGGAAACACGCAAGGATAGTTAGGAGTCCTGACTCTGGAACTAGGGCACACCACACTTGGTGTGACTTTAGGCAAATGACTACCCTTCATAATCTCCCACGGTATCAAACGAACAAAAGTCTCTGCCTCGTAGGATTGATGAAATAATGCCGGTGGAGCTTTGACGATGTTTAAGGGCTTAATAGATGTTCTCTATTCTTACCATTACCATCATTGTTATTATAAATCATGACCCCGGCACAGAAGGCATGAAAAGCCAGCCTGTACACAACAACTTTTTCAGGGATTCTGAGAACTGGCAAATGACCTCAGAGGTCGTGCAGTCCAACAGACTCCTTAATTTTTCATTGTAAAAAACAGAGGCCATGACTTGCCTTAAGGCACAGAGTGAATTCGGTGCAGTTGTGAGTAAGCCTGTGTCAAGCCTCACTCTGCACCAGGCATTGTGATAGGATCTGGGGGGAGAAAGGCTCAACACTACCCGTTCTGATGGCGCTCACGGGCTGACAAGCGTGAGGAGACACCCAAGTGAATACAGTCCAGGGACAGGTGTTGTCATGAGGGCAAGGTGATGGAATCTGGCAGGGGGCTGACATTTGAAACTGGGTTGACATTTGCCCTAGTGAAGACAACCCTGGTAGAATTGACCCTTGAAAACAACACGTGTCTCATTTTATTTATTCGTGTGGTTGATCATCCCAGCCCCTACAGGCCACCCCTCCCCGACACAGTTTCCTGACCCCCGTGTCCACGGAACAGAGCGGTTGTTCAGGGTGCTGGCCGTGCTCAAACAGCACAGTCTCGCCCCTGCAGAGAGGGGTGGCTCTTTGGGTTTCTCAGTTTTTTGAACTGGAGTCTGGGCCCAGAAACAGATCTTTCTGGGGAAAACAACCATCCCTTTGCAGAATTGTTCTTTCCACGGAACTCAGTGGGAGAATGATTAGAGGAAGAAAAGCATCATGGTAGATCTGAACCTTTGATTCTTTCACTCGACAAAAATGCCCCTTTCTTTTGAGGGGCTCAGATCTCGGGAGTGAGTCTGACAGCAGGTTGAAGTGGGAGATCTGAACCCCTCAAATCAATTTGGCTAAACCACTTTCCACTCTTGTTTTTAAACCATTCAAAAGGCCATGTGGGTGATAGAAAATGAAAGTTTTCAGTTTCTTAATTGCTAAAGTTCCCCACCCAAAACAGCTTAAGGGAAGGTTAATTATGGTGACATGTTAAAGAAATCCCATCCTTCTAAAATGCCTCCTGGAGAAGCTGATGTGACTTTAATAGGATTTTAATCCAGAGAGTCTTTTGAATACTTGAGGTCTATTCTCTTGCTATCCTCTCTCCTGATGACCTCAAATCCTTCTTCAACCCAACATGAAAGAGCATTAATATCTTCCATCGATCAATCTACTAATCCTTTTACCTTTCCCTTTGAGTCTTCTGCATGACATTACGTTTGGGAGGGGATGGAGAATTCCTACATGGGGGCAGAATGCAGCCAGGAGAAGCAGACGGACAGAATGTCTTGGCTAGACGGAGGTATAGGATTATCACCTTTTGAGAAATTTATCCGATTGGAGTTATTTTCCGAGAGCGAATGGACATCTGGTGGATTTTGCTCAAGCTGTGGTAATTATAAGAGTTCTGCAGTGGGGGCGAAGGGGGTCCACGCTGCCAGTACAACTGTATTTTCTGTGGGGGAACGGAAGGGCTATTTATCTATTTCTTCATCTATGCATCTGTCCGTCTGTCTGTTTAGCTATGTTGCTATCTGTCTGGCCTGGGGGCTCTTACAATTTTGCTTTTCCATTTGGATTGAATCCTGAAGCAGTGATGTAAGGGAAACAGTTATTGTGAGAAGACACGTGCAGCATCATGACACTCATTGCTTCCCCCTCACACACCCCTCCCCGCTGCCAGCCCTGTCTTCCTGCCCCCTTGCTGCTCCTGTGGTGCTACCCTGATGCTCAGGGCCCAGGTAGGGCTGAGGTTTCAGATCACCTGTCGGGGGACTAAAGCTAGAATTCCTTGGAGGAGCCTGGAAGACCCCTGGGATTGTGGGCAAGATGGTACATATGCATGTGCATGCATATTTTTAGAGTGATTTTCAAAGGGATCATGGTTCCCAAGGAGCTGAGGACCCTTAGAGAGAAGGTGCTTAGGGCTATAGGGGGCTCCAGATGGCTGGGGGGTTCCCCATGCCCACCACTCATGCCCGCCTTTCCTCTCTCCCTTCTTCTGCTCTTCTGTTCTGTGCTGCCCTCTTCCCTTTGTCCTCTTCTTGGTTCCAAACCTTCTCCTGAACATTCGGCTTTGCCCCAAGGGCACCTCTCAGGGCTCAAGGTGCTTGTTTGTGGCCCTGGGTCTTCAGGAGACAAGGGATCTGCATGTTTATAAAAACACAGGACTGACAGCCTTTTTCAGTACACCTGGATGCTTGCTGGATGCGTTGATGTTGTCATAAGTCATGACAGCTGGGGATGAGACTTTTTTCTCAGCGGCATGCCTCACTGGTACAAGCAGACCCACAACTAAGAGGATAAGCCAAAGCAGGGGGTGTGTACCAAGCCCAGAGCTGGAAGCAGAGCTGGTGGTGTTGGTATGGGGCTCGCTCCCTTGCAGTCTGTTAGAGGCAGCTCTATTCACTGGTGAGGGGAGATCCAGGGCAAATGTTATTTCTAGAGCCCAGGCCATTTGCCAGGTCGCAGGGCTTCAAGCTAAGGAAGATCATAAATTTATAAGCAGACTCTGTTTCTAAGAGGGATCCCTTATTTGCATGCCCAACCCAGTGTTTTCAAAGTTCTTTCCTATTAGGTTGTTTCGTTTAAGCTTTGCAACAGCCAACTCAGATAGCTAGAGCAAGAAGCTAACAGTATTCTCATTTTCAATATGAGACACAGTGCTCCTTTGGAACAATGAAGATTCCACAATCCATGTGGCCCTTCAAGTTTACCCTGTCAAATACCTTTTCTCTGTGTGACAGGTGTGATAGGAGGTGATAAGAGAATATGAAATGATTGTAACAATGTTGATTTGCCATTCATGTTGGGTTGAGGGAGCATGATAGTGATTCAGAAAAAGCCATGAATTTAGAGTCAAGAATTAGGACTTGGACTCCTATTCTGTGTACTGCCAACCAGATTTGAATCCCATCTTACCCCCTGACAGCTGGGTGACCTCATTATCTCTTGTTCCTCATATGTGAAATAGAGCTAAGACCAACTTGGCCACTTTCTAGGGCTTATGAGGAAGGTCATACAAGAGACTCTGAAGGTTATGGTGTTTGATAGATTGAGCTTGCTTGAGTTGAATAGCCCTTGAATTTAGACATCCTTAAGCCTCATTAGGGAGGGGCTCTATGATCCACAACACCAGCCAACTATTAGGCTATGTGGCACCACCAGTTGCGTGGATATGGACACGGGCCAGGCTAACATATAGGGAGTTGGTGGCAGCCACACCCTCACTGGGTCCAACTTCACCTGGCAGGTGGGGAGACAGCTTCATGTGTGGGATGATGTGAGGGGTGCTGGGAATGACCTATCAGTTCCAAATATTACTTCCTGTGAATGTGCTTTTGATGCCTACTCTTATCCACTTGGCTGTGTGTTATACTGGAAATGGTACTGGTCTAAGAGATAGAAGGCCAGCTTCTCATGCAGGTTCCTTCCTTCTTCCTCTCTCCCTCTCTTCTCGCTTCCTTCTTTCTTTTCTTCTCCTCTTCCTTACCCTTCTAGCAACACCCATGACCCAAACCAGTATCCTCTTTTTTGTTTTCATTCTCTTTGAAAATTTTGTAGCATTTAACCATGGATTAATCATTTAATCCATGATACCCCTGGAATTCTCTCTTTCCTTAGTATTTTATAAATTATGTGGCTCTTACTTATTAAAATACTGACTCTTGAGTGTTTCTTTCTTTTTCCTTCACTACTCCTTCTCAAAGACCACAGTCAGC